GTTTCACTGATTGTTTTTGAATTTACTATTGCAGGGAGCAGCAGCAGCTGTTGTTCTGAACTTGGGTTGCACTCCTGGGCTCTTTATTGTAGGACTATTTGGAATTTTGATTTTATGGATGTATGCAAACTTTTGGATCACCGGAACATTGTTTATAGTCGGAGGCAAGTTTCGATTTTTACCCTGATCAGTTGTGCTCTTTTACTGTTTCAAAACAGCAGCTTTAGATTAGTTTGCTGGGTCGATGAGTCTGTCTTATGCTTGATCTTTACTATTGACATGGTGTTAATTTTCTTTAGTTTTGATTGATTCAGGCTATTTATTCTCCTTAAATCATGCTCGTATGGTGGTTCTAGTGGCGGCTTCATATGCGATATACTGTGTCAAAGTCAGACTTGGATGGCTTGGTGTTTTCCTTTCAATGAATCTTGCTTTCTTGTCCAACGATATATTAAATTGTCTACTTCGATGGTGTGACAATCTAAGTGAAAAACCACAACACGAGGAACCAAAGAAAACCGAAGAAACAATCATAGAAGAAGACTATTCAGGGGAATTTGAGTATCCTTCAGTCCCTGTTGAAGAAGAAACCGAGAAAAAGGTTCACGAGAATAAGTCATCTGCTGAACCAACTGCTCCTACAACTGTTGTTAATAGTGTGAGGGAGATTTCTAATGTTAAGATAGTCAAAATAGAAACAGGTTCAGCGGATGAAATGATGAGAATACTGAAAAGTTTGAATCATTACGAAGCATTGGGGTTCCCGCGGCATAAAAAGATCGATGCCGCGGCGCTGAAAAAAGAGTATAGAAAGAAGGTTTGTCCTTGTTTCAAAAGCTGAGTAAGTTACTGCAATCTCTCTAAAGGTTAATGAAGTATGTGCTTTGTTCTAGGCAATGTTGGTTCATCCCGATAAAAATATGGGGAGTCCTTTAGCAAGCGAATCATTCAAGAAACTACAATGTGCTTACGAGGTAATTAGATGACGTATAATCTTGAATTTGTTCACTTTCATGGTATTTTTCAATATATCGACATGTAAAGGTTGATCGTTTCTCTTCAGGTTCTTTCTGATTTTGTAAAGAAGAGAGATTACGATGAACAATTACGGAAGGAAGATTCTAGGACTAGGAGTGTTTGTCAGACATCTCATGCTTCTTCGCATCAGGTTTAGTTATTGTCTTTTTGCTTCTCTGTGATATCTTTTGGCGTGTGGTCTCATGTTCCATTTTTTGTTTATTTGCAGAGTGGTTCTGATTATCGATCAGAAGAGTCGAGGCGAATACACTGTACAAAGTGTGGTAATTCACACATATGGATATGCACCAATAGGACTAAAGCAAAGGCAAGATGGTGCCAGGTGATTCTTCCAACCAACTCAGGAACTTTTAAATCAATTTCTTGCATTTTGTTTTTGTAATTTCAAACTCTCTTCCGGATCTCCTAATTTGTTAAATGTAGGATTGTGGTCAATATCATCAAGCGAAAGACGGAGATGGATGGGTTGAACTCAAAGGGACATTACCTTTCGAGAGAGGGCATAAGGTAAAGAAACAAGCGTCGCTTTCTTTCTTTTGTTTCCTGTAATGATGAATCTGGTTTTGTTTCAGTATCCTCAACTCAACCACTTTATTTGTTTTCCTGTCCTTTCAGATTGAAATACCGCGTGCTTTTGTCTGCGCCGAAAGCAAAATCTTTGACGTCTCAGAATGGGCCATTTGTCAGGTCAGTTCTCTTACCGGTTCCTTTGCGGATTACCTGAATGCGAAGATGATTGAGATACACATAAACATGTTTTTGATTTTGATTAATATAGGGAATGGCGTGTAGACCAAACACTCATAGGCCAAGCTTTCATGTGAACATGGTTGGGTTAGAGAAGACAACACAGAGATCAAACTCAAGTAGGTTCCCTTGGGATCTA